AAAATTTAAACTTAAGAGATGGGTGTCACATGGGTCATATAAGTTTAGGTTTTATATTTCAGCATCTGATATCTGTTATCAATAGATAATTCAAATATGTTTGACAAAAGGTTTGAAGACTACAATCACTTTTCGTAGGTTATTCTAATTAAACTTAATTATTAACACTCTTGCGTGGTGTTTTCAAATTTTAAACCTTTTTTTTTTTTTTTTTTTAACGTTGGGAAATGCATTTACGCACGAAGTGTGGGACTCACCGGCGAAGCCAGTACTACCCACTAAAACCCAACAAAACCTTCCCCCGTCTTAATGGGGCGTCGCAGGATCGCTTACGCATTCAACTACGACGCCCCGACGGCAGGTCTGCCGAAGCAGACCACAACAACCATGGGGTTGCTCCACGGTCCACTCTGCTATCAGAGAAGTACCAGGAGCAACCCGCATGGTACACCACCCTCCGAAGAAGGCCGCCTCCCACCGCCCACCGAAGCGGGCCACCTCCCTGTGCGTTTCTTGGCTTCGCGAGTACACTACTGAGCCCCCCCACCACGACAAGGTGAACGCACGTTGGGGGGGTTCAAATTTTAAACCTAACTTGTCTACATTTACACCCTTTCGTTTTATTAAGCCAATATAGTGCAATTACATTAGCCTGTTCAGATGCTTTGGTGAGAGTCATAATTAATTATAAGGCTAAGTTGGCCGCTCGCCAGCAATCGGCTTAGTAACTAACACAAGAAATATTACGAGATTGAGATTTTAATAGCTTTTGTCAGTTTTTTATATACTTTCGCTGATAACCACTATTATGTATAATTTAACAAAAAAGTTAAAACGCATTCGCAATTATTTCATCTTTAGGTGTGAATGTTGTTTAAATGATAAGGGAAACCCCCTGCGATATTAAACTAAAAAAAACCCATTTTTTTTTAAGTTTTTATATTTTTGCATTTCAACATATTCGATAAAGCAATTTATTAAAAAATTATTTATTTGATAATTTTTTTAAAAACCGCTCGACCGATTTCGATTTAATTTCCCTTTGAAACAAAAAAAAATCCAAATCGGTTCAGCCGTCTTCGAGTAATCAGTGAACATACATAAAAGAAAGATTCCGACGAATTGAGAGCCTCCTCCTTTTTGGAAGTCGGTTAAAAATCAATAATAACGAAAATATCGAAAAACCCACAAAAATAATCAGACATCGATGTTTTTGAAGTCGGTCAAATATATTGGGACATTAACACACAGCACCATCTGGTTCCATGTTAAGTTACGAGGCTTGTGTTATAGATACCAGATAGTTGATACACTACACATATAATATAACTTTAAATATATACATATTCTAAATATAAACACCCATGACTGGAGTACAAGCATTCGTGCTCATCCCACAAATTAATGCCCCCAGCGGGACTCGACTCGCAACCGCTGGCACAGCAAGTAGGGTCACTACAAACTGAGCCAAGCATGTCGTCAAATTTTAATTACTACACAAGATAAAAAAGCCTTCAATAATACACAATTAATAATACACAACTGTGCTTAATTTTTCCAAATAAATTTTGACCAAAGTTGATATAGAGACTAAGATATTCCACCAAAAAATCATTTTACATTTAGGATTAATCTTTTGTGAGAACCAAATGAACAAATTTAATTCCGCTCCTTAGTATAACAAAGGATTTTATACGTGGCCTGAAACGTTATTGAGATTGAGATAATTTTTAAATAATGTAGCGGTGATTACAATTTTTTATTATTTTTACATATCTATACATCTGTACATTAAATATTTTTTGGGAAATCTAATTGAAATAGACATGATTATCGATACAGAGGCCGAATCTATTATTTTTAAAATTTTTCTCTGTCTGTTTGTCTGTCTATCTGTTACCGCATCACAAGAAAACCACTGGACAGATTTTAATGAAATTTGGTATGATGATAGCTGGTTATCCGGGTCAACATATAAGATAATTTTTACTCGGGAAAATATCGCATTTCTGAGAAAAAATACAAAAACTACATTGTAAGAGTATACTAATATGTAAAACCTAAGAATTTGGTTATTGGTAGTATTTTATAAGTGTAATGTAGTTGTATTCAGGGTAAATCTAAACAAAGTAAATTAGCTGTATATGTAGGAAGGTTGTGATGGGCACTGGAGATAAGAGCATAACAATACAAATACGGTGGAACATCGAGAACCTAATTAATAGCGACCCTGCAGTATCTCGTAGTGGGTTTTATTATTATGCATTTTAAAACGTGACTTTTAAATTAAAAAAATTATAACCCACTTTCAATGTTTACTTTTAATATTACGAAATTTATGTACTGGGATCAATAATAGCCTGTGCTACTGTGCTCATATTAAGAAATAATACAGACAGAAATAATACATTAAATCCATACTAATATAATAAATGTGAAAGTGTGTTTGTTTGTTTGTCTGTCCATCTTTCATGTCGAAATGGAGTTACGGATTGCGTGATTTTTTGTATAGAGATAGTTGGAGGGCTGGAGAGTGACATAGGCTACTTTTTATTGCGGGAGATTCCCACGGGAAAACACGTCATACTACAATCCAAAAAAATATTTATGCTCCAAATTACTTGAAACTTGGTATTGATGCTCTTCAATAAAATTAAATAAATACATGTTTTAGCATTTTCGAAATTCATCTTGTAAGTGGGTAAAATAGGGGATGAAAGTTTGTATGAAACTACCTTTTTAGAGATTTTTTTTTGTTATTTTGCGAGTGAGGCCGCGGGTTCTGCTAGTAGTATATAATTATGCAATTAATGACAATTTGTATGCTGAAATATAATTAAATAAATATTAATAAATAAAAATGTAAATATATTATTATAAATATTATTAATACCAAAACGTGTTTGTAGGTATATTGGTATATCCTTAACGTAGCAACGATGATATTATACACTTATGATATAAGGATAAATAAAATACTAAAGGATGTTTGAAATATAGCGTAGATCAAATACATAGTTCAGATCAAAAGACACAGCATTGAGCTCTTCATAACAATTAATCTGATACAAATCAAGATTGTCATAAGTTAGTATTTAGTACCGAATCACATGATGGCTGTTATAAAAATAATGAATTCACCATGTAAAAGATGCAAAAACGATCCAATAAAAGCTATCGATAATAATGAGAAAGGAAAAATTTCACTGTAAATTCTAGTGCAGCATGTCTTTGCATATTCAGCGTTCGGAAATTCCATAAATTTGATATTTTGCTGCCACAGGCTAAATAAAACAGTAGATTTATAGTGCTCTATAGCATACTTTGTGTTAGACGTATACGACACATGGGTTATGCTTGATGATGAATTTTGTAATAGGTTCAAACGATAGTTCTGAAATTTGATTGGATTTTATTAAACGATCTTTCACCGGTTATGTACTTGTTACCTACGTTCTATGTGAAGTAATAGATAATATTTATTTATTTTTTTTTTTTTTTTTTTAATCTTTATTTGAAGGACTTGTTCACATAACAAAAAGCGAACATGTCGTCCTTGTAAATTTTACACATGGACAAATAACGAGTAAATACTTAATTATAAATAAAATTATGCGCAGAGTAAAGTAATATAATATTTATTTTATTAAATTAATTAATAGTGTTAATATGATAAACATTAATAATCTCAAATAAATTAAAAAATTAAAAAAAACCCCTACGTAAATTAATTGTCATTTAACGATTACACTGACACGCGTGAAGCACTTAATCGAGTAACCATACGCCAAAATGCCTTACATCATTTTGGAAAAGAGCTGATACTCTTACACTGCTGGACCGTATTAACCAAATATAGCTAAGAACCACCGCAAGGAAACTGGCTTTCAAATGAAAAAACCGCATCGAAATCGGTCCATCCGTTTGAGAGCTACGATACCACAGACACACACAAACACACACACACAAACAAACAGACATCTACGTCAAACTTATAACACCTCCTTTTTGCGTCGGGAGTTAAAGACGAAACGTGCTAACGTTTAAAATGAGTTGAAAATGGATTTGATGCCTCCCTAAGGTTTTTTCATTTGTGAATTGTTTTAACATATGTATATATTTATTTAGCTTGGATAATAAAACAAAGAAAACGCAAAAATTATAAAATTATTAAATAAAAAATAAAGTGAGGAATATATAAAATTACTCGAAATACAAAAATACAGTAAAAAATTATATAATTATATCCTAATGGTGAGACCATTAGGATAAAAATGTTAGAGTTTCAATAATTTTTAGATAAAATTAAAAAACTTGACCGAAAATAAAAACGTACAGTGTTTCAGTTTACTTCTAAAAGCTTATACCCATTGATTCAAAGTGCCAAGCATTTCTTAAAAGACATAACACTATCTTATCGCCTCTACTGGTGATAGGAGAATTTGGCGCAGTTTTCGCCCAAAGAATCGGCATTGCCATTCAACGGGAGAATGCGGCTAGCATTCTTTCCACTATTCCACGCGGACATGACTTGTACAATAATAACTAAGTGTACATTCTGTTTGTATATATAATTAAGTATATTTGTATTTCTTTCTAGCAATCAACTACTATATAATTTTTTGCATCCCTTAATATGAATGAAGCCTCAGACCCTTATTGTTATGGACCTCTTAATCTTAATCAATGTAACTAAAACTTCAAATGCAACCCACGCGTTTCCTTTGAGTAAGGTCGCCTGTAAACCGCAGATGGTAAATGCTCTAACCGCTTTGTTTATATAATTTAGTCAAGCAATCTCGCAGAGCATTAAAACTGTACGTGCATTCATAATGTCGGTAAAAATTTTAATTGTTTCGGCTTCGTAAAATATCCCCAGAGGCCATGGAGATTTTTGTCATTTTTGTGTTTACCTTTTTGCGAATTTCGTTTTAATTTCCCACCCAAGTTGGTTTTTCATGTCATTACAAAGCGTCATCAGAGTTAATTGTTGTTTTTAAATGCTATTGAGATCTGTAATATTGGACGATATGTGCATGAATGTTTATAATTTACATCTACCAGAGATTGGTGTAGTAGCTTCGATATCGGTATAAATTGAAGAAAGAAGTGTCTTCTTGCAATATTAAAAAAATGTTTTTGTTCTAAATAAATCACACTTCTATAATATTAAATGAAAACGATAATATGTGTATTTTTGGTTACTCGTTCACGCTAAAACGACTTGACGGATTTGGATGAAATTTAGAATATAAATAGATTAGGACTTAGAGTAACTTATAGGAAACTGTTAGTAATAAAAAAAATTAAAAGGTGCCGCTACTTGTATGTAAATATTGTAAACTAGAGGCAAACCCGAACGAAGCGAGGGTGAGTGAAAAACAAAAATAAACCTATCCCACGGGAACCGTACATTTTTCAGGATAAAAAACCTATGTGCTATTCCAGATTATAATCTATTTCTGTGCCAAATTTTATCCAGATCTGTTCAGCCGTTCTGGCTTGAAAGACAAACATCCATACTCACAAACTTACACATTTATAATGTTAATATGGATTTAAAAAGTGCCTTAGTAATTCAAATAATAAGTACCTCGATGCTAATTTTTACTTACAAACTATAGTGTATCTACTTTGTTCCAGACGGATCCGCTCTCGGTCGGCGCACGAGCCGCGGCGGATCGGGGGCCGCGGGCTCGAGTTGACGTCATGCTCATCGCTTTCAACCAATCAGCCAACCTGTCTGACCTGGCGCTCGGCCCCGACCTTCCAGCCAGCCCTTTTAGCCTCGCCCAGAAAATCGTCATCGCAATCATCGCCAGCGTCCTCTCAGTTCTCACCGTTGTTGGCAACTCTATGGTCATGATAAGCTTCAAAATAGACAAACAACTCCAAACGATAAGCAACTACTTCCTATTCTCCTTGGCCGTCGCAGATTTCGCCGTCGGCTTGATATCTATGCCGCTGTTCGCCATGTTCACCATATACGGTTATTGGCCACTCGGGCCGCATGTGTGCGACACCTGGCTAGCGTTGGATTATTTAGCTTCCAACGCGTCGGTACTCAATCTCCTAATTATAAGTTTTGATAGGTATTTTAGTGTGACACGCCCGTTAACGTATAGGGCTAAGAGGACTACACGTCGTGCGACAGTCATGATCGGTGGAGCGTGGGGGTTCAGTTTAGTTTTGTGGCCCCCTTGGATTTACGCGTGGCCGTATATAGACGGCGAGAGGAAAGTGCCCCCTCACGAGTGCTATATCCAGTTCATAGAGACTAATCAGTTTATTACTTTCGGGACGGCCATTGCTGCGTTTTATGTGCCAGTGACAGTTATGTGTATATTATACTACAAGATATGGAGGGAAACGAAGAAAAGGCAGAAGGATCTGCCTAATCTTCAAGGAGGGAAGAAGCACGATTCGTCTAAAAGATCTAATTCAAGGTAGGTTTATGAAAGCATAAAGAGTTACATCATAAATAGACTATCACACAGTAACTTCTAGTCTCGCAAAGCCTTAAGAATCACTGCCCTTTTTACTTTTATCGATCCCAAAGTTCTCAGAAGTTACGAAACTTAATCGTAGACGAGCAGCATCATTACTTACAATCTGCAACTTTCGGAATGGCCACAAAAAGTTTTACTGTAATTCTGTTTGTGTCTCTCAACCCTGACACTTTGGTTTAAGTTTTTTTTTTCGCTTATACTAAGGTCTCCATTAAGTTGTCATGGTGCTGTATTTAACTGAGAGTTCTGAATACAACCGTACCGCCCTAAGCGTGTTAAGACTAAATGACGATAGTTTTTCTCGAGCTTTTTCTTCTCTTTGATGCTAAAATTTTGTTTTTTAATGTCACTGTTAGAAATTGTTCTAACTTTACAGTATTATTATTTTATAGGTATAATTTAAAATTTCTAAATAGCAAGTATTCATAAATTATTCTACATATAACACATATGCCTTTGTTGCATTAATTAGTCCCTAAAATCATACTGGATATACCCAAATTAGGTAATTAGTTGATTTTACTTTTATGTAGTTTACAACTATCACTAATATATATTTACATCAAATTAGAAAGTTTATTACTAAAATAAAAGGGAAAATAAGGAAAAAGTATTGGCTAATTTAAGAAAATAAATACATATGAAATTTGAATTCCATCACAAGCACGTGAAATATTCGCTTTGATATGTTAATTGGATCTGTCCAATCATCGGAATCGATATAGATAATGGAACTCGAGTTGTTAAAGTATCGATGAATATTCAGCATCGGATGGAAGAATAACAACGTGTAATTAATGATAATAGTTTTGTTTTTATAACGTCACTGGCTCTTTACCGCGTTTCCATTAACATTAATTTCTCATATTTATTCTTTATAGTAATAAATATTAATATGTCCATCCATGAAATCAAAATAGTGACCTCATATTTAGCTAATACAGTTGTTTGTATGTACATAATTCGTTAGTTCACTATTACAAGGTTCTATGTTACAATTTTAGTTCTTATTTAGTTATTAATGCTACAAGGTTCTATGTGTCATTAGCTACAGTTTTGCAAAAAACAAACCACTAGATAGCGGCACTATAATTACAAAATATTCAATTTTACATAGTTCTATGTAGTTTTTTTTACGATAACAAAATAACGAAGTTCTATGTAAAAATTACTAAACTTCATTAAAATTAACATAGAACCTTGTTATGGTAAGCCAACGATTATGTATTGTACTAAAGTCGGAATTACCCTCAAAAATTATCTTACAAAAGATTAGTAGTATATTCCTCCAAAGAAGGATTAATGAAGAATTATTTGATAAAGGGATTCTATTAGCAAGTAGGGGACTTAGTCACATTATGGGATATACGCATTTTTTCCCCAAGAAAGGGAAGGGTTCCTGCGGGAAAAGGATAAAAAGTTTTATGAGTTTTTGTCATTCTTTAAGCGAAGGGTCGTGGTATGTACAAAATAAAAGCTGTGAATTTTAATTAAGGTTTAGTTTGTCTACGTACACATAGTTATGTATATACAAAGATGTATAGATAGAGATAGATTTCATACATATATATATATATATATATATATATATATACCAAATAATCATTTAAATAGAATTGTTGGGTTTTAAATAACGCGCCACTCGATAAAGACATTTCATATATTCATTGTCACGTAAACGACTTGATTACAAACTTGCTAAGGTATCTAAGTAAGTTTAAATAATTTCAGAGATAAAGTCGAATCCCTAGCTATTATTATAAATTATAAAGTAAGGTTGGATAAAGATATAATAATATATATTTAATAATAAGTTCTAGTTCTAATAATACTTCTTCATTGTTTTCTTTCTGGGTTTTAACTTTTCCGTACTTCTAGATAAATCAATGATTGGGGTTAGTGTTGCATAAAAACTATTTTTTTTTTACCATGAAAAAAACTTAAAAAAGACATGAGAAAAACGCGTTTTTTTCGGGAGTATGTTTTTTTTCAAGAGTACAGAATTTTTAATAAGCATGTATGTGTTTGAGACGTCTATAAGCTTAGTCTCTCCCGTGACCATGATTGCTGTAAAGCATTCAAAACGTCGGGAACCAAAAATCTAAATAAATCCGCGAAATGACCCGAAAAGATAGTTTTATTAAAAACGTCAAACATTCGCGCAAATCTAAAAAAGTATTTTGAGTACAGAATTCAAAAATATTAAGGTTGTTTCCGTATTAGAGTATTAGAGTTTTCTGTTTATTTTTAAACCTACAAGGACAAGCCTAGTGTGGCACTGATACTGAATGTGGTACTGACATTGACACAGAGGAAGAATAAATTTTTATTTAATTGATACATTATACTTTATTCGGTTTGTAATGTAAGAAATTAGAAAACATACCTAAATAAATAAAAAAATCTTAAAGTTTTTTTTAAAAAAAAAACCAAAATTAGGAAAAAAATATAGGTACAAAGTTTTTTCTTTTTTTTCATCATAGTGAAAAAAAAACAATGTCGTTTCTTTCATATTACATCACTAATTATGGTACGTTTTGAAGTGACTCTCTCATAATAGATTCGATCTCGTGTGATGTGCGCGTTTTTATTGATTTATTTTAGGTGTAATAATAACAATGAAACCATTCTGGCTTCGCCTAGGTATAAACTTATACAATTAATTTTCTTAGATTAACCCGAATATTTGACATTTTAAGTAAAACTATCTTTTAGGATTTATTCGTGATTTTTTTTGCTTCCCGGCGTTTCGAATACTTTACAGAAAACATGGCCAAAATGTGGAAAAAAACATGGAAAAAATGAGGTTACTTACTACAAATGCCCTTACATACGTACATATAAAAATTCCTGTTGTATAAAGATTTAGAAACTCTAGCTACCCAATGCGGTCCGTATCGTGGGATTGGGTAGCGTAGGAATTATCGTGGCCGTACACTTTTCACTACTAAAGTTTCATCATAATCGGCTGATTGATATGGAATATAGTAAAGCATCGATTATAACGAAGTAAATCGACAAACATCCATTTTTAGATAACTCTTAACCTTACAATCCTTAAACAGATATATAAACACATCACGATTACCTCCTTGTAGGCATAAACGACAAATTCCCAAACGACCAACTTTTACCCCACGTATCTAATAAAAATACCTATCGCGTAAGAGCTCTTAAAAATTTCAGCGTCTTCTAGTATTAAGGGAGCGTTTAGACGAAACACATTTTAATTTATTATGAGATGGCCATATTTTGTAAACTTCATTTTTGGTATCATATTGTTATTAAAAGCAAGTCCAAAAATAAATTGTATTATATAAGGAGAAACGTTAATTTTATATCTTCTACGTGATTTGACATTATTACGAAATAAAATTCAAAACTAGCCAAATTTAAAGAAAAACAAGAAATAAAGCATGCTAAATATACATCTAATTACTAAATTATATAAAAATAACTAATGCGGTTCTAGTAAAATAATAATAATAATACTATATATATATATATATAATTATTATTATTAAAAATAAATTTAATTTATATCACTGTCTTACAGTATATACGGTATAGAATTTTAAATAAAAAAGCGTGTGTGAGTAGCCTTATCTTTCTTATTATCCTTTTAGACTCCCCATAGCACCTTAAGTTGGGACACATTACTCGAAGACACAAGATTTACGCCATGTTTGATACTTTATTTAACACATGAATTTTATTTAGTACAAGTGACTTACCCTGCTTCGCTCGGATGCATTCCTGAGTACGTGCACATAGCGTTGCTAGTTTAATAGGAAGATCTTTTTAAGAGGAATAATTCTGTAATACATTGTTTTGTAAAACATTGTTGCCAATAAAGCTTCCAATCGGCATGATTTTTTATGATATTGTTATATTTCAGCCAATTTACACAAAACCTTAATGAATTATATACCTATTGGTGAACCCTATGAAAATCCATTCAGTAGTTTTTGAGTTTGTTGCGTTCAGACAGACAGACGGAGAATTAATTAAAATTTACATTAATTTGTACTGTTGGAGCTTTAAATTTTGACTTTATACATGTAAAATTGTAAAATCAATAGTTATATAAAATGCTATATTATTACAAGTTGGAACAAAGGAATGAAAGTACCTTAAATATTGAAGATATCACATTTGATTCAAAAATAACATTATTTTATTTTAAAAATAACTGCATACAAAAATTAAAAAAAATCCTTACCAGAGGTGGTAATCGAACCAGTTAAAAATACAAAAATTAAAACATCACCATTTTATTGAACGTATAAATAATGGTTATGGTAAGAATAAAACCTTTAGAAGTAACATTGCATATTACAATTACCAATTCCGAGATATCGGCCAAAACCGTTTTTTCAAGATGGCGCCTGAAGCTCCACCGGAATCTGTCAGCATTTTGTGATTTTATACTCAGTAAGTGATCCTAAACCTTATCAAAAAAAAAATGGATCGAAAATTTAGTACAAAGTTAAATTCTATTTTTACTCACCTATATTGACAGCTAATATCGTACGTCGTAGAACGGTCGGAGGGGACATTTTTGTGTTTTTCGTTAATTCGATTACCGGGTCATGTAAACTTGAAAAAAAATAATGCAGTTGTTATTATTTAAAAAAATGAATTAGTGTTTTCTTTGAGTACAACTTGATATCTTTAATATTTAAAGTACTTTTCTACCACATCTTGTTAAATTCTGTATAGTGTATACTTATAGTTTTAATAATTTAAATAGTAAGTAGTTGAATAAATTTAAATAAATCCACAAGAGAGAAGCGTTTTTGTTTAAAATCTAATACAGTATCATCATCATCATCTCCCTGCCCATTTCCCAAATTACTTGCGGTCGGCGCAGTGCGTTCATATAGCTTATTGGTTTTGGCAAAAAAATTCCGACCACCGCCCGCCTGACGTTAACC